ATATCAACCAGCTGTTGAATTTGAGCTTCTAGAGTAGAGGAAGCATCTACTTGACTATTGAAAAGGTGAATTTGAGGGTGCCGCCAATTGGTATTGAAAGGAAATCGACCTGCTGAAGGCCAGGCAAAGAAAAACCGAGATTTCCCACCACTATTTGAATTCCTGAACTTAGAAAATAACAAAGGAACCGTAGCCGTAAAAAAGACGAACGCATTGCATTGAGCTAATTCATACATCTCAAAGACACACCTAAAGAGGTCTATGGAAAGCGGAATTCGCCTCCTAAGGCAAACGTATAAGAAGTACAGTGCTTTTCTCCAAGATTGGGGTTTATTTGACTAGGAGTAAGATGAAACTCATTGAAAATCGACACAAAGAAGGGATGGATGGGTAGCCGGAAACCACCATCCATGATGTCCTTATACACCGCTATCTCGCGAGGGTCGGATCCGGAGAGCCTCTCTTTGGGCTCGAGGGCTCTATATATGTAATCGTCGACCTGATCATACCTAGCAAGACATTTCTCTAACTTAAAAGGCTAAAAAATTTTGGAATTTCAAGGGGTATGATCTCGCCAGTCGGATCTCGCTCGATTTCTAAGTTTTGATTTGGAGACTTGGTGGAGCCAACATGTCCCTTGGGGAAATTTGAAATAAAGGCTTGAGAATCAATTGAAAGGGTTTGGCTATCAAACTCAAATGGAAACCCATCGGACGAAGGAAGAGAAGCCGAAGGACTTCGATTGGTCAAACCCCGACTGTCTGCCCGGATGCGCAATGGAGGGTTGGTCGAGCGACTAGCGTGCTGGTCGATCGACCAGCCTCGTCGGACCGATCGTCTGACCAGTCGATCGGATTTTTTTCGACATCGACCGGCCCCCCATCGCTACTTTCGTCGGAAGAAGAAGAAATGATAGTCTTGTACATGATTTTGTAAAAAATGAAGAAGAAAAAAGATGAGAGAATTACCTTAGAGGAGAGGAAATCTTGGAAGAGAAGAGACACTAAGATGTAGAAAAATAAAAAGTAAAAAAAAAAAAAAAGAATGGCTCACATGTGAGGGACCACCCCCTTTTATAGGCAAAAGGGATTCAAAATTTTTGGGGGAAAAATTCCCTTCAAGATCGTGCCCATTGGTTGGGTGCCAAATATACAGTGAAATAGTTGTCCTGACCAAATCGTACTACTCAACTTGTTCATTCGAGTTAATTTTATTTAAAAAAAAAAAGAAGGAAAATCCATATGAAGGAAGTTGCTACTCCTCTGTCGAAAGTATATATATATATGTGTGTGTGTGTGTGTGTGACAGAGAGTAGGGGGCTAATGATATCAATTAACACAGGAAACCACTTCCAGAGATAGGCAATGTAAATCGTGACACGCAGATGCGAAACCGTCCACCCCCACCTCAGGGGCGCTCTACCTCTATAAGAGACCGTCGACCCCTCGGGGTGCTCTACCTCTACAAGAGACTGTCGACTCCCCGGGGTACTCTACCTCTACAAGAGATCATCAACCCCCCCGGGTGCTCTATCTCTACGTGAGACCATCGACCCCCCCTGGGGGCGCTCTACCTCTATGCAAGACCAACGACCGGCATGATATTACTTATAAGGCCATCTCAACACTTAGCCTGAAAATCTCTGATGAATTAATAAGGTTGCAAGGCGGTCACCACGGGCACAACCTTCTGGGGTAGTTAAAACTTCCCACCCCGAACGTGGGATAATGGGAAGGCCAATGTGGGACATGTGGCACCACAACCACCCGGCTTCCGCTCAGCTTCCGACGTCGATAAATACCTCCTAAGGGCAACGGGTATGAATTGATTGCACATTTTTTAGCTATCTGAATCCCAAACTTATTTTCTCCTAACGCGCCGATTGATTTTCACACCGGAGGTAAAACGGGGGAGAAAGCCCCGCCCTCACTTTTTAGGTTACACTTGCCCATCAGAGTAGCAGAAACGCCAAAGGCCGCCAGACAGATCAAGAGACATTATTCCACCTCCATTTTAGGTGGAATAGTATTTTTTTTTTTTAAATGAGTGGATAAAAAAGAAGGAAAAATATATAATATTATTTTATATAAGATATTGTGTGGTTGAAAATAGGAGAGAAAAAAATGGAATGTAATGGATTGAAAATTAATGGGGGCCAAACAGGGGAGAGAATTTGGACAATCATCTTGGAACTTATATTGTTTCATCAATCAATCAGATTGAGAAGATGGAGCATTTACTTAAAGAACATAAAGAACAATCGCTGGATGATGAGTTCAATAAGAAACTTGCAAGAGATTTTAGGTGAGCATTTTACTCGTGCATCAACTATCCATCTTTTGGCTGTCATCTTCCATAAATATAATCTGAATTTGCGCTTTCTTTCTGTCATAGTTCAGATAACATTTGATATTAGTTAAATGGATAATTGAAAGTGAGCGGTTTAGGCCTTGTCTTTCCTACTAGATGCTAGCATATATTTATTGAAACCACACAAATTATCTTTTGATTAAATTTACCGAAGTTCCATCTTGGTCAGAAGGCATTTAACATAAGTTCCAAAGATGGCAATTCTGAGTTACTAGCTTCCTTCATGTCATGTACAGGATTTATATATAAAAGTAATCACTTTGTCATAGCTCAAGAGTATAACCAAGCACCTATAGCATTGCTATCTACAATGAGATTTAAAATTTATCTCTTGATTGTTATTTCAAGATTTACTTCCTGGAGAGTAATTGAGAAAATGCATATATTGATATATACTTACAAGATGTTCGGAATATACAGCAGGCTGGACTGCTCCTTATCAAGCGGCTATTCTGAAACCTCATCTCCTTGTTACAGCTATTTTCTTCTGCTGTCATTTTCCATAAATATAATCTGAACTTGTGCATTCTGTGTCATATTACTACACACAGGGAGTTGAAGACTTGAGTTACTCTCTGATGAAGAACATCACATACCAAACTCCTATCTTATCATATTGATTCAGGGATAGCAATTCGAACTGTCAAAATCGAACCGTATGGTGCATTGAGGTGGATATGATATTTTATTTTAGTGACCCGGGCCCCAGCCCGAGCCGATTACCTATTAAAAAAAAGGGCAATTGGGCTTTCCATTATTCTTTCTATTATAATTTGTCTAGCCCAAAATTTATGGTCCATTACCGACCCATTAAGTAACCTAACCCAATTATCACTTACCCACTAAGTACTAATCCTACCACAAAAAAAAAAAAATAAAAAATAAAAAAAATGGAATCAAATTCAATAAAACATTAGCCGATAGCAGTCTTCACTCAAGTCTCTGCAGTGCATCCCCTAAAAATTTTTCTTAACCATACCGTATTCTTTCTTGCTCGTCATCGCCATCCCCAAATAGGAGGGTATTCTTTTTTCTCTTCTCGTTTGCTAATTGTTGTTGCTGTAATCTGTATCTATTTTTGTTTTTGTTGAGTTTGAGTATTTGATGAAATGTGATTTTTTCTTCTCCACATAAAGGATGAATTTTAATGAACTTAGTCTACCTAGAAATATTAAGTTTTATTGTTGGAGGAACTCCATGATATGCACTTTGAGTTTGAGAATAATCAATAAAAATGCAAGGATACGAACAAGTTATTAAGCTATTGAATTCACCCTGCACCAGATTGCAGGAAAAATCCCCGGAGGAATTTTTTGAATTGTTGAATTTAAACAAAAATATGGAAATTCTGCTCAAAATTTCATTGGAGGATATCACTCAAAGACGAACAAGTAATGCAAGATCTTTGGCTGCCAAAATTCTTTCTCAGTTGAATGTACTTCATGAACATTCTTCATTTTTTTTATTGTGATATTGAAATGAGAGTGCATATTTAATGCGAATATTGAATTGGAATATTGTTTGCATTTTCATTTGGGATGTTGTTTGTTACATTGGCTTAGTATTATGTTTTTGTTTTCATTGACTTTTTTTTTTCAGAATTTTTTTTTTTTAATTTGACGGTTGGATCTATAAAAAATATTTTTTTGTGGTTATTACCGAGCCAAACCTAAATGACTTACGTGGTTATGGTACAATTAAGGTATGACAAAAAAAATTTGATAGTTCGGTGATGATTTTGACCGAACCGATCCCAAATCACCGTTGACAACCCTAAGTGAAATGTTTAAAAATCAGCAAGAATGTGGTGAAATTAGTCATATTCACTAGGCCACTACCGTCTCTGTAAAATAATGGTCCAATTTATCGTGACGCTGAAACATCATTTTTCGTGAATATCTCTGACAATGTCATCCATGTTCTGTATTACTTTTCATGATTAAGAAAGTAATTAGTCACATTATTATGGCAAATTCGAATTAGTCATAAGTATGTCGATGAAAATTAAAATTGGCATCATCCATGTTCTGTATTAATTTTCATGATTAACAAAGTAATTAGTCACATTATTATGGCATATTCAAGTTAGTCGTAAGTATGTCGATGAATATAAAATATGCCAATTTTATAAATGAGTTTGACCGCGACTTAAATTATAAAATTTGGATCGCCACAGTTTCGTATCAGAGCGTACCATGTTACTGTTCACACGTGAACAGTAAACAGTACCCCCATGTTAATGTTCATGGTGTGAACAGTCTCTTTAAAAAAATGGTTGTTTAAATGATTAATATATAAGGTAATTGGCACAAAACGTCCCTACCCTTCATTTTTTTTGTCATTTGTCCCTACCTTTCACCTTTTTTTGAGCTGAACATCCTTTTTATTCATTTATGGCAATTTTACCATCTTATACAAATAAAACAAAAAGAAAGAAAAGGAAAAAGAGAGAATTAATTGCAACCATTGTCCCGAAATTTCAAAAAAATTACAAATGAGCTAAAAATTTTCATAAAATTACAAATTGAAGTTAAATTGAAATCAAAATCTACTATGTTTTCTTTCATTTTCTTATAAACAGCATTCAAAAGTCACAAACCATAGGTAAATTAGCAAAACAGAACACTAATATGGCTAGAATCGATTACAAAGTTCTAAGACATATTCATGATAACCCATCAAATTACAGTAAAACAGACATAAAAATGATTTGAAACATGCCAAGAAGGACAATTATTCCAGTCCAGAATTATACAAATGAAAGTCCATAGTATGAGCTGTAACCCAAGCATATCCCCTTTTAGCTTGTAAGCCGTCGGGTAAAGGAAACTATTTTCATGGTAGTGTTCCTCAAGAGTTGATTCAACTCCAACGGTTAAAAGTCATGGACTTTAGTTTGAATAATTTTGATGGTGAAATTCCTTCATGGCTTCATTTCTTACCTAAATTACAAATTTTGAGTCTTAGAGGAAACAGTTTTCCAGGTTTCATCCTGCCTTTTCTCTCTAATATATCCATGTTCCAGTATTTGCATCTCTCTTCCAATCCTCTACAAGGGAAAATCCTGGAAGACATTGGAAATCTTCATAACTTGAAAACACTTGCATTACAAGATAATAGACTCACTAGTGTAATACCACTGCAGATTTTCAACATATCGACAATGGAATTTCTTGCTTTTGAAGAGAATAACTTTATTGGTAATCTCCCTCTTCAAGTATGCCACGGCCTCCCAATACTCCAAGGGCTTTATCTAGCTAGAAATGATTTGGATGGAGAAATTCCTTCCAATCTATCAAAATGTTTACAACTTCAGAACCTTTCTTTGTCACACAACAAATTTAGAGGATCCATTCCCGGAGAAATTGGGAGTATAAGGACGCTTCAGTATTTATATCTTGGTGTCAATGATTTGTCCGGCAAATGAATCACGATTGATGTTGTGGTAGTACTATAATTTTTTGTTTGTACAGGCATTCATTCATAGAATTACTGATGTTACAAAGATCAACATTTTGGTAATTATAATCTCTTGTTCTGATTAAAAAACTTGACAGGTGCAATTCCATGTAAGTTGGGTAACATGGAGAACCTCAAGAAGTTGATCATGGGATATAACTTTCTTAATGGCTCTATACTAGCCAGTATCTTTGACATTTCATCGTTGCAATATATTGAGATTCAACATTGCTGCCTATCTGGTAACTTCTAATTAGATTCAAAACAACTTTTACGTTTGTCCTAATTTGTATTTTCATACAGAAGTTTAAACAATATTATTTCTTTTGAAGTTTGGGCACTTTACGAGATTGGCACTCTTTACAACTTGGAGCATCTTTCTTTGAACAACAATAACTTAAATGGACCAATTCCAAACTTCCTTGGGAATTTGGGATCGATTGAGAAAGTAGACTTGCAAGAGAACAATTTCATTAGTAAATCTCCAGAAATGAGCTTCATCACATCTTTGACAACCTGTATATATTTAACAAAATTGGCTTTTGGCAACAATCCTTTGAATGGCATTCTTCTGTTCTCAATTGGAAATTTGTCCACTTCTCCTCAATATCTTTATGGTGATAATTGTGATCTCAGAGGCAGCATTCCAAATGAAATTGGCAATCTCACCAATTTGACAATGTTAAGTCTGTTTGGCAATGAGTTGACGGGATCAATTCCAACAAGCATGGGGAATATGCAAAAGCTTCAAGGATTATATATTCTTCGCAATAAATTAAGTGGATCTATCCTGGACTCCCTCCGTGAGCTTCAGAATTTAAATGGATTGGATTTTTCTCAAAATCAAATAATAGGTGCTATTCTAGGGTGCATAGGAAATATTACTACACTAAGGTATCTATATATCCATACCAACAGATTGACTTCCAGCATACCTACAAGCCTGTAGCTCCAGAAATATCTTCTGGCATTGGATCTATCTTCAAATATTTTGAGTGGCTCTCTACCTCAAGAAATTGGGAAACTAAAGGTTGCATTTCTTATCAATATATCATTCAATCGATTGTCAGGTAGTATTCCAAGCACAACTGGAGATTTACAGAGCTTGAGTGATCTTTCCTTTGCATATAATGCACTGCAAGGATCTCTTCTGGAGTCCATGGATAAGATGCTGAGCTTGGAACAACTAGATCTATCTCACAACAATCTTTTTGGTAATATCCCCAAATCCTTGGAGGCACTTAAGTATCTCGCGTACTTGGACGTTTTTTCAATGATTTAAGTGGTGAAGTTCCTTCTAGTGGTGCTTTCAAAAACTTTTCTAGTAAATCCTTAATGTCTAATGAAGGATTATGTAGAGATCCTATATTTGGTCTCCCATCATGTCCTATTGGTAGACAAAAGAAAAGAAGAGTGATGCTTGCAGTTGTATTTTCTTTGTTGGGGATTACAATACTAATCGTCATGCCCTTGGCATATGCAATTGGAAGATACCGAAGGAAAAATTTGGCGGAAAATGGAGTAGACTTTGCACCTGGCACAACTCTAAAGGTCTCATATTATGAACTTTTGCAAGCAACTGAAGGGTATCGTAAAATCCATTTGCTTGGGATTGGGAGATTGGGCACTGTCTATAGAGGGACTCTCAATAATGGAAGGGATGTGGTGATGAAGTTTTCGATTTGCAACAACAAAATGTATTCAAGAGTTTTGACGTAAAGTGTGAAGTATTACGTAACTTTCACCATAGGAATTTGTGCATAGTCATTAGTACTTGCTCCAATCAAGATTTCACGGCCTTGGTTCTAGAATAAATGTCTAATGGAAGCCTTGAGAAGTGCTAGTATTCAGTTGACTACGTGTTAGATATCTTGCAGAGAATTAACATAATGATAGACGTAGCATATGTATTGGAATAGTTTCACTATGGCTCCTCTTTGCCTATTGTTCACTGTGATTTGAAGCCATGTAATGTTCTGCTAGATGAAGATATGGTTGCCCACTTGAGTGATTTTGGAATTGCTAAGTTGTTGGGTGAAGGAGAAAGCAATGCATACACTACAACCCTGGGAACATTGGGTTACATTGCACCAGGTAAAGCCCCTATCTTTTACTCAAATCTTTTCTCTTGAGCATTTAGGGTATGTTTAGTCCACCAACTTAGGGCAGATAAGGGTAGCTTAGATTGTTAATATTCGTATTCGATGTTAGAAAAAACAAAAAATTGTAATGCTTTATAAATTTTTAGATGCATCATAGATTACAATATACAACCACACATAATGTGACTTATATATATTTCTAATACAGTGTAACGACAACGTAATATGACTAATGAATTTTGTAATGTTTTATGTAGAATATGGATTGGAAGAATTGGTGTCAATAAGATGTGATGTTTATAGCTATGGCATTGTGTTAATGGAAGTATTTACATGAATGAAACCAAGCGATGAAAAGTTCTCAGGAGATTTAAGCCTAAGAAGCTGGATAAATGATTCTATGCCTTATGCAATTACTCGGATTATAGATTCAAACTTGTTGGGACTAGAAGAGCACGACACAAAGAAATTGAGATGTTGTCATCTATAATGGAACCTGCTTTAAATTGCTCCATGGAGAGTGCTAGTGACAGGGTGAACATGAAAGAAGTAGTAACAACATTGAAGAATATCAAATTTCGACTCCTCGTTTAACAACCGTTTTAAATTTAACAGCATAATGCAATTTGTTCTCTATGTATTATATGATGATTCGGTGATTCTGTAGAGATTATATACTTTGTCTATAAAGTTATATAACACGCAATTAAATCTAGTTCGAATTTTCTTAGTTTACAAGTTGAATTCTGTAGATGTCTTGAATGCTTTCTAGACGTCAGTGGAGATTATATATTTTGTCTATAAATATTTTTGCATTCAAGAAGTCGAATATATACATTCTTAAAATTCATTAAAACCAAAACTAGGAAAGGTCAAATACAAGTGGGCCAATAATATGAAAATGATTTTTTTCTTTTTTCTTTTTTTGGTAAAGTTGGTTTACATTTTAATAATATAGATGTCATAACGAAAGGGCTCACGCTTCAAAATTTGAAGAGTTTAGAACACGACTAGAAATGATAAGGAGAGAAGAATTAAATCTATGAGTCAGTCTTAAAGGGGAGGATTGAAAACTGATTAATAGCAGAAAACCCTCTACATACTTGACGATGTGCGATATACCCCCCATCTATTGAAAATCGTAGAAAATCTCCTTGTATGAAATTTGAAGTTCGATTCACCCACCTACCTTCTAATTTCGTTAGTTACCATTAAAAACAATAGAAATTGACAAAATGAAATGGAATAATTGCAATTGTGATCCCAAACTTTGTATACCTTTTACTAATTATGCACAAAAATTTTTATATGTACCAACCACAATCCTAAGCCTTTAAAATATTTAAAAGGTTGCCCACCGTCACATATGAAACAATCTAAAAAATTTCTAGAATTGTAAGCCCCCAACATACACTACGATAAATATATTCTAACACTTCATTCTGAGTCATAGAATGAATTAAGAAGAGTGAAAGAGAGAAATAGAAAAAGACAGAATGTGTGCAAGTGTGGTGAAAGAGTGACACGAAGGGAGAGAAACAGCATATATGAGTGCTTTGTGTGTGTGTGTGTGTGTGAGAGAGAGAGAGAGTAAATTTAGTGCTTCCATTAATATGAATTTTGAGAGGTGTGTGGTTGGATTGTAAAAGCAATTCTTTTAATAATAAAATCACACTACACCAAAAATGCTCTTTCGCATCACTTAAAAGGCAACATTCACTAATCAAATGTCGCTAAAGGGACTTATTGCAACATTCTAACAAGTGAATGATGCAAAAAGGGTCTATTGGCAACATTTATTAAATGAATGTTGCTAATAATATTTTTCGCAACGTTTTTCCACTGCTGCAAAAAGGGAGACTTTTCGCAACAATCGAAAAATGTTGCGAAAAGTAGACTTTACACAACGTTTATTGAAAATGTTGTGTAAAGTCTACTTTTCGCAACGCTTGCACGATTAAACGCTGCAAAAAGTCCCACAACTAGAATAAATCCAATATGTTTAACAGTAGCCCAATTTTTCCCTCTCGTCTCCGCCTCTCACTCCTCTCTTTTTCCCCTACTCTCTGTTGAGTTTCAACTGTAGATGGAGCTGGTTGAGTTTCTGCCCTAGATAGAGTTGTGGGAATTTGGGTGCTAGCATCCCAGCCGACTGGGTTTCTACCTTAGATGGAGTTATGAGGGTAGGGTTGGTGGTTTGGCCAGCCGAACTTCTTTCAGTTGCAGGAGGACTTGAGAAGGAAAGGGGGTGGTTTTGTTTAGAGGTGGTACAGTTGTCGGAGTGCCCTATTCTCGCCTCCACCACAGCCTTTACAAGCCCCTCTGCAAATTCCAATGGTAACGGCGTGCCCTATTTTTCACAAGGGCCATGGAACAATGGATTCTCCTGCTTCCAAAGCAATTCGTGAAGATAAAGATGAAAATTACAAACCCTAGAACATCAAATATTACCAAATCAAGGTACAAAACTATTTTCTTTAATAATTTATTTTTTCTGGTCAAATCCAAAATGTTAATGTACCTTGTCATGTTTTTGAGTAATTGTCAGGCTCGTAAAATTTGCCTTCCTTAGAACTGATGCAACTAGACATTGTATTAGAGGTTTACTATGTGGTGATGAAAATGCCTCTCCACCGCATACTATTGAATTAGAATTATCTCCTATGGATTAAATCCAAATTATGCTTCAATGGAAATATCTAAATGGCTTTTTGTCTCTTATGAATATAAGAATATATGTAAATTTATATCTCTTTTTTTTATTACTAAAGTCTTAAAGTATTAAATAGTGTGGTTCATAATTGTCTGTTTATTTACTGAAGGATTAAAGTTGGAACTCCAAAAGAAAAAGGTGAAAGACTATAATTTCTTGATAATTTTTGAAGTACGAATCATTCATGGGTCACAGGGCACTTGCTCTGGCACTGACCAGAAAAATCGAAACCCTTATATGCTGAATTGGTGTTGATATTTTGAGGGAGATACAATATCCCAAAAAATGTCTGCAATGAAGATTTTGTATGAAAACCTTCAGTATGTTTGAATTTAACCAGTGTTCAAGAGCCAGAACAAAGCTGGTTTTGACTTTTAGATTTTGGCTGTCAATCTCATACCACAGAAGTTAATATCAATACATATTTATCCTGCAGGGTGCACAAGTTGTTAGAATGGGTGTTGTGAGAAAAAGGGAGGCAGGCGCCATGAGTGGGCGCCATGGCGCCCAAGTCTCTGCATGAACTTGGCGCCATGGCGCCCGATTCAGTTCTATATATATAGCTGTTTTTCCCTTCATCGCCATGGCGCCCGATTCAGTTCTATATATATAGCTGTTTTCCCCTTCATTTTAGATCTGTTTTTTTTAGAGAAAAATAGAGAGAGCTTTGGATAGAATTTAACAAGTAAGAGGTTGTTCTTCTTGGGTATAAATTCAAAGATATTTTTCTTTCTTGGGGATTAACTTGAGGCTTGTTCAAGTAATCCAAATCCATTGTTCTTCATATATATTGAAAAATCATTTCTTCCCCAATTTCTTATCTTTGAAGTGGTTTGGAATTTTCACATTGCAAGTTATCTTTCTTGGGCAATCTTGGGAGTGTTGTTTTCCCAACAATTTGGTATCAGAGCTTCTTCTTAAATCAGGGTGGTTAAGCTTCGTGGGTGGCTTGAACTTTGTTGTGCACACAAGGTGTTTGTGAAAATTTTCAAGTGAACTTTGTTGGTTTATTTCCGGTAAACAAGTAGATAAATCATGTCTACTAGAGGAACGGTGAAGATTGGGAAGTATGAGATAGAGAAATTCAATGGAAAGAATGACTTCTCATATTGAAGAATGCTAATGAAAAATTTGTTAATTTCTCAAAAGTTGCACAAGGCATTGGTGGGAAAGGAGAAGAAGCACATAGATATGTCTGACGAGGATTGGGAAGAGCTAGATCTTGAGGCACGAGCGTCTATCATTCTATGCCTTGAAAGAGATGTTGCTTTCTTGGTTGATGGTGAGGAAACGACGGTGGAGGCGTGGACAAAGTTGGAGGCGAACTTCATGACGAAGACTCTAACGAATCGGATCTATTTGAAGTCCAAATTGTATACTTGCAAGATGGATGAAGGTACACCAATCCGGGAGTACGTCAACAAGTTTGATAGGTGCATATCGGACTTGAAGGACATTGATGTGAAAGTAGATGATGAGGATCAAGCACTTTTACTACTTCTTTCATTGCCAAAGTCTTACGAGAACCTACTACGAACATTGATGCTTGTGGGTGATAAACTTGTGTTAAAAAATTACAAAAACCTTTCTGATTTCAAGTTTGAATAATTGATATCTCACATGAAATCTTAATTGTTTTCAATAAATACACAAACCTCCCTTATTTCAAGTTTGAGTCGCATATACCTATCCCTATAAAGTTTATTAGATTGTCGAATAACATAAACCTCCCTTACTTAAAATATTATTAATTTTAAAGTTTGAATTCATTGGATTCTTGAAGGTAAACTAACTCAGAACTTTTGCATTTGTAGGTGATTTTCGGTTTCTCATACCCCCTAAAGCTATGTCAATATGCCGCATGTATGTGTGCGTATTTCATGGGGTTTTGAAATAATGAAAAATTGTTTAGATACTTATTCTGTATTTACATAGATTTGACCTACATTCTACTAAAGTGAGATATTGAGCTTTCTTCTATCTATTCGCATAAAGGTTATTATCTTAGCAATAGTGTCTCTACCCATGGTGAATTGAAATTATGGGGATACAATAGCATATTCGTAAGCCTCAAAAATACTATAAGGTGCTTGAAAATGGTTGAAATAGTCAAATAGGAGGATCACTATGATGTATACAAGAAAATATAGCTTTCCTGACCAACCTTTCTCTGACCAACCAAATTCTAGTTGGTGAAAACGCTCTTATAATGACCAATAGAAATACTTAGTTGGCAATATTGTTACCAACCAAGAATTTACCGACCCAATAACATTAGTCAATAAGTCTTTTGCCGACCAAAATTTTCCCACTAACGTATAATTAGTCAGTAAAATAGTATTTACCGGCCAAAATATGTACTGGTAGGCAAAAATGAGACATATTTGCTGACAAAAATTAAAAACAATTGGCCAAACTAAGATTTATTTTTAGCAAGTCATGGCTCAAAAATATTTATTGACTAAATAAATGTAGTCGGTAAATATCTTGGACTGGGCCAAAAATTGTGGTGGGATATGTGGGCCCACAATTAATTGGATTTACCCAAACTACATAGGCCAAAAATTAACGTTGTCTTCTCCATTTCCAATTTCCTTTAGCCGCCCTTTCCATTTCTCTCAGTGCCTTGAAGTTGTCTGGTGCATTTTTATCTATTTTCAAGTGTAACCCGTTGTTTTCTCTCCATTTCCAAGAGCTGTCCTTCTTTCTCCATTTTCAATCTTAAATTAAGTTTTCAGTTTTTCCATTTTCTTCTCTTTGTGCTCTCAGTATCTTTACCCAACACTCACATCTGGATTTTTTGAAATTTTGTGTTATACGTTTGGTTTAGTTGATAGAAAAAGGAGAGGTTTGATTTACTTATTTTTTTTATTTTATAGGGTTTTCAACTTTCTTAATTTTTTTTGCAGTTTTATTACTGTATATATTTTAACATCCACCCTCAATTCCTGACTTTTACCTCACTATGTAGATTTTTTATTTTTCACTTATTCATTTTGTATTTCTTGAAACTTATTTGTGCTAATTTTTTCTTCAGGTGGTATTGGTGCTTTTTATCTTACAAATCAATATTGGTGTAAGTTTCTTCGTATGGATTTTTTATTAGTTTGGTTAATTTGTATTATCTTTTTCTTTTTGAGTTGTTCTCTATGGGCACTGCTTATCATTGGTTAAAATTCCTTTTTGAGATTCCTTTCTGTGCTTTTTCTTATCATGAATGCTCTGCCTAATTTAGATGAGACACAGACTCAATTTGAGCACATTGTAGCCATGAATCAAAAAATCCTATATATAGGTTTTTATATGTTACTTGTCAACATCGAATGGGATTGACAGGTAATGCTGTACATGACTTAAGGTTGGGAGGATTTTCTAGACTGCAAATTGCATTATATTGAGGATCTGTTTTAGATGCTCTGGTTTTAATCAGAGTGGAGAGGGGAAGACTAATTTAGATGGGGGATAGGAAACATGTCTTAACTGTGGGCTAATGGGTGGAAATAATTTTGTACTATATTTTGAATTTTTTAGATGTAAGCATGGATTCTTAGACTTTTTGTGGGAGCATATAAGCTATTGTTTACTTGGTCATTCCTCCAATACCATAGGTGATTCTTTGAAAAACAAGAGAATCACGTCAAGACTTATCTAAAATGTTTTCATCTCAGGGCCCTATTGCATAAGAAAAACGAAAGAATCACATTTGTTAAGAAATAATTACTGTTCTATTAATTTCAACGTTCATCTATGAAATAATGAGGGCTTATTCAAAATTTACTACAACATCTTCTTATCTTTCTTTATCCAAATTTATTGAAAAATCTTCTTATTTATTATTCTTCCCTCTGTCAATTTTCGTAACATGATATTGAAACAATATATTTTTGAGGCTCATGCAATCTCTGGTACTTTGCTAATAAAATATGATTCAAAATTTGAGTACATGCATTTTATGAATGAAGACGTCATCATTCCTTTAGCTCAGCTTTTATCGCTCTTTGTGCCTCAGGCTCGGTACTAGGATAAAAATAGACTAGCAAAACAACGATCATATGTTATAGACCAGAAATGTAGTTGCTGATTTTGACAAAACCGTTTACATTCTAGAAATGAACCTAGAAATATAGTGGCAAGTAGTTGTTGAATATTAAATTTTTTAGAAACAATTTATTTGTTTGATACGAATGCATGATTGGTACAATGTGCTAAAAACTAATTTTATGCGTATTGAATTTTTTTTTAATGTCAACAACATAGGTTATTCCAATGCCACCAAAGATGAAGCCACCACCCCAAGACCTCTGAATGGTTCTATCACGTAGGCGATCACTCAACCTAGCACGTAGTTTTCACCTACCATGCAGTCTACACAAGCCACTTTGTCAACAGAGACAAGTAGTTCTATAATTGTTATTTAATTCTTCAACTTTTTTTCTTATTGACATTTATTGTTTTAACACTTGCAGCATTCCTAATCGAGCGTAAGCGATGTGGTTGTACTTGTGGCTTAGACACATCCCAGATAGTCAAGGCCACTCATAGGAAGCTGGAAATCATGTATGAAGATAGCGATGGAAGACCAACTGGTCCTAATGCTAGTCTATTCGTATCTGAAATAGGATCTGGTGTGAGAATATTTGCACCTCTCCAAAAGATCTTTTAAAAAGATGTGTCTGAATTTGAAAAATCCCCTATTTATGACAAAGTGGAGGTAACATTATTGTTTTAACTTGTTTTGTTTCTTGTCCTAGTACAACTTGTATGCATCTTTTTCTTTCTTTAAACATGTCATTGTTGAAGAAAGGAATAAAGTTAATAACAAGTTAGTATACCAGGTATCAAATTGACAGGTTCTCTAAATGATTAGAAGTCAATATCTTAATTAAAAATATTGGATGTTTGCATATGTTCATTGACATGTATGCATATCTTGAATGATCTGAATTTCTGGCACTTTGATTTTGGTTGCTTAAAGTAGCGACTTCATATTCCAATATATTTATGTGAATTTTGTGCTCGTCATTGTGTTTTCACTCATGGTATGTTGCTATATATAGGCTATTTTTGATGTACAATATGATAAATATGCAACTCTCAAAGAGTTCATGGAGAAATCAATGGCCACTTCCTTTAAGGAGTTTTGATATGAGCTGCACACACATTACAAGAAGTTTCTAGACCAACCAATGGCTCATAAGAAAGCTAATAAGCCTAAAGAAATCCGACATCAGGTTGATTGGGATTATTTGTGTGACTATTGGGAAAGTGAGCGGTTTCAGGTGCATTTATATATAGTATAACTTCCATTTATGTTCAATGGTTAACTTACTTAGTTCATTGACTTTCTTTGTTCTGTTAATTGGACATTACAAAAAAAGACCAAGGTAGCAATTGACAATAGATCCTGACAAGAATTTACCCATTTTTCTTGTTCTACATCATTTATTCAATGTCAGGCTATGGGGGTAAGTAAGAAGAAATATATTCATCTCTATTGGGAAACAATTTCAATTCAATTCAATTTTAATCTTATTTCTTCTAATAGGATAATGAAACAGGACGACCAGACAAAATTCAACTATGGAAGAACACACATTACAAGGATACAAAAGGCTAGATCCATCCCGTGGTTGAGGAGAAACATGTAATAAACAAATAATATAAGTCTTTAAGTTTAATGGACTAAATATTTTACAACCTTATTTGTGTTAATACTTTCCTATTGTCATGTAGAAAGAGATGGTAGACATACAAACAACACAACAGGCACATATTGTGGGAGAGGAGAGTGAGATCCAAGGAGCATAGCTCACTGCTAATGACATTTCGACTCAGGTCCTTAGAGCTACTTCTTGCTAATATACGGGTTTGGGCAGGGGTCCAAAGATTCAACGTGCTACATCTTGTGTAGACACGACTCAATGAGAGAATGCCAAGGTTCGCCAAGTCACGCATAATTTGCAGAGCCAAAATGAGGGTAATCTCACTTTGTTAAAAGAGATTATGCCAGTTGCCATCGCTAGAATAGGTAGCCCTAGAGTTCTTACTAATCCTCATTCGTCTTCATCACCATCATAACCTGATCACGAGTCATGTGATGATCACTAGTTTAAAGCTCTTCTATTCCATTTACATAGTTTTATATTTTGATGGTTAATACTCCATTATAACATATGCTATTATTTTTGGATTAAGCTAGCTTTCTCTTATATATGAATTTGACTAGGCTCTTTATTTTGAAATCCATTATAGTTTGGGCATGTAACGTAGTTACTTATTCTGAAATTGGAATTGACTGGTAAAGATATGATATAGTATTTTGCCTTGCAATTGTTTTGCTACAGGCTTTTTATTGTGATTATTGTTTTCTAATTTCTGATATTTCTTGAATTTGAACTTTTATTGGTACATTATTTTCGAGTTGGCCATTCTACCTTTCTTATAACTTTGATTCTCGGACAAGGTTGTAAAAAATAAAATAAATCACAATTATTGAGGGAAACCATAATCAGAAAAAGCAGTTCCTGACCAATTTCACTTGATCTCTCCCTCGGTAAATGTCACTTGATTTTTTGGTCGGCAAATGTATATTATTCCCGACCAACCGCTATGGTCGGTCTATGTTTACTACCACTACTCATGACTTGTTTATTACCGACTACTTTAGACATTTACCAACCAAATGTATAGTCAAGAAAAGGTTTATAATTACCGACCAACAATTTTTTGATCGGTAAAAATCTCTCTTTCCCAACTAAATTATATTTTGGTCGGTAAAAACCTTCCCTGACTGGCCTTTGGCGACCAGCTGCCAACCAAAACTTTCCGGTCAGTAAATTACCGACTAAAATTTGGCTTTGAGCGACCAATCTCTTGGTCGGCAAAACTCATATTTCTTATAGTTCTTGGCCTCAACCAGACACTGCTTTCCATTAACACCGCTATCCATATTACTAAGAAATCTGCCTATCCAATTTCCCCTTGTTGGAATACCCAAATTTTAGTGCTTAACTAAACATTACCTTTCATTAATAACAATATTGTGAATTTCGTTCATTGTCACTTAGTTCCATTATGTTAATTTGATCATCTATTATTTAGAATAGTGTAGTAAAATCATAATGTAGATGGCTTCCTTTACCAAATTCACGTACTTTGTTGAAACCCAATGACTAAGAAAAGAAAATTGAATACACATGAAATCATCAATCATTTGTTTTAATATAGATCACTATTCTTAATAGTGGATTTATTTTATGTCAAGTTAGACGGATTTGTACATTTGAATATGGTACATTTGAGGCGAACACTTTGTTGTGCAAACTTAGAATGTGGGTTGCAAATGACCTTAATTGGTTATAGAACCTTGGTTGACAAACATGTGATCCACAGTCTTCAACAAGGGACTAGGTCATGTGGATAAGAATGCAACACATACTATTCATTGATGATAATGTTTTAGCCAACTAGATTCAATTTGAATTAAGCATCCATATATTTTATGTTAAATAAATAAAGTCAGTATAATAAACCACACTCTCAAAATAATATGAATAAGATACTAGTAGGGTCAGTATAGAGGATTATAATGTCTCTAAAGCAGTACTTCATTTTTACCATGGGTAATTTATGTTGAAACAATATTTTTCTTTAGTTTTATCACTTATTAATTGTATAATAGAAAGCCCTCAATCTTTTATTACTGGCGCACATAGGTCCCTACATTATTTTATCGCAATCTTATTCTTAATCTTTCATTTATTAGCACATTGTCTTTGAGAATTGTTTTTATATAGTATTGTAATAGTTTGCATTAATCTTTCATTAATTAGCACATTGTCTTTGAGAATTGTTTTTATAAATTATTCTAATTGTTGTTTCTCTTATTTAAAATTATGAGAGGCAAATAAAGTATTTTTTACACCCTTTAACGGACTTTTTGAGTAGAATATGTTACGAGGACAAAATGTGCTAATTAATTCCAGCATTAGATTACATTATTGCAGCATTGCTTATTGGAAAATGATTTTTTTTTCTTTTTTGGTATAATTTTGAATGTAATTCATTTATATTCTTTGGAAGATCAAAGTAGATTTGTTGTTTTCCTCTGTGAAAACATCAAAATCATATATTTACTTAGTCAAAATGATGCTAGTGCGAATGATAAATTGAAGATCAATTTATATTCACTTGAATTGGTTGCTAGATGGAAAGCAAAATTATAGTTTGTCTTATGTGCAAATGTGACATGCGTACGTGAATGACAAACTGAAATTTGGTCTCTCAGTATGATCCGTGTTTTCTATTTATTTTCATTTATTTTCAACTGGCCTTCCACAGTTTTCAGGTCCTAAAACTCCTGTGGTTTGTTGCCTATGTTAACATGGGTGGTATTTGTTAGATTAATGATAAATTAATGGTATAATAAGTCACTCATTAGAGACTTTAAGAGTGCTCATTTTCATCAGTTCCATACACAAATTTCTTTATTCCAAAATATATTCCTTATTCGTTTCATGTGTCCATATCCAAGTCTTGATGATAGTGTTGAAATAAAATCATTACTGATTTGCTATCTGTATTGAGAGTCAGCAAAACCTGAAGCACTTATAGTAAGATAGTGAATCTATTTTAAGGATATACATTTTGTTTTCACAGGCATCAATTTGCTATTCTGTTATCCTATTTAGTTGTGATTTTTTTCTTCAGTTTTGATTTTTGTTTGTTATTTCTCTAATATATTATATTCTATTGTAATTTTACTGAAAATCTTAAAATGATGCGAAAATAAAAAAATCGGCTTTATTTTGTTTGCACTGGGAAATTAATAGTTGTTTGGTGTTTCAGATATGGTAACCACATTAACCAGTATAGATATGGTTACTGAAAAAACAAACTGTTGACTCAATTGTCAAGTCACATTGTAACTCTGACCATAGTTCAACTACCAAGTTATGCTGTGACCTAGACAATGGCTCGGAACAGTTGGCCTAGCTATAACAGTTCCGATTATACATAGGGAGAAATCAAAGAAATTTAATGAGTTCAATTTCAAAAAAAGATTCTATTTTTCCTCGCCTCCTTGAATCTCACAAGATTCTTGATCGAGGATGCTCTGAAACTCAAAGAGTATAAGAGAGATTTACAAGCTGTCAGCACAGTTGATGCTTGGAAACATTTTGATTCCCTGTTCAACAACAATGCACTTGTTGATTCAATATACATGTATAATGCATTATAAATGACCAAGGAATTGTGAATTCTTTAGACCCAAATATAAAATTGAGAGTGTCGGACTAAGAAATACATTATCGGCCACTTCCTAGATCATAACATGGGGAGCTCAAGAATTTTGATCCTTCAAGTACAGGAACTCAAGTGATTTTACATGAAATTCATGCCAAAGGAATGATCTTGGGTGAAACTTTTCTGGTGATTGCTACTATTGAGAAGCTACCTCTGGCATGAAACGCTTTCAAAAAATAGTTTAACCACAAGTGAAAGGAAATGAACATTGAAAATTCGATTGTCAAACTTCAAATTAAAGAATATAACAGAAGTTCTGAAAAGTAAGAGGATAACTCTAGTTGTTGCTAAAGAAAGTATTGTGAAGCTTAAATAAACTTCTAAAACCTGCAAGGGCAAACATGGGCTATCTAGTGGTAAAGGGTCAAAGTGGAGATCAAACGGTGGAGTTTTCAAGAAGAAATATGAAGGAAAGTGACTTAATTGTGACAAAGTAGGTCATAAGTGTTCGGAGTGCAAATTGCAAAGAAGAATAATAAGAATGAAGCAAATGTGGTTAAATACATGGAACACGATGTATTTGTAATGAGCCCAACAGTCATAAATTTTGAAGTGAACTTGGTGGGTTCAAACCGAAAAGAGTGGTGGATTAACACGACTATACATAGCATGTTTACTCTAATAAAGAGCCGTTCACTTCATTTGAAGCAGCTAAGAGTAGGAAAAGTAAACCAAGGGGAAACTCAGCAACAACTGGGATATGGACGGATACAATACAGTCCATGTCCAAAAAAGCATCCTATGTAAAAACAAAAAAATGAGGCCCAAGTCCTAGTTCTAAATCCTAAACCACATAATTTGTACTTGACAAAGGCACAAAGCATTCCAATTTCAAATATTATTCTGTCTTTCTCATTGAATTTCTCGACTTGACTTCTTCATCAATAGAACTAATATTTTATTTTTCAATTAATCGTATGATAAAATTCGTTTTGATTTTATTTTTATAATTTGAATTTCAATTTTTTTATAATAGACAATGGTTAATAAATGTTTTTATCCATGCCATCGATGTATTATAAATATCATATTACTTATGAGCAATTCTAATACAAGTAGTATCACTCAAAAGTTGAGGATGTTGGGTCATAGGATTTCATCTTGAAAAGATATTATCTACATGATAAAAATTGTATCACAAACACTAAGGGCTATAGCTTAGTTGGTAGGCCACCTCCTTTACACATGGGAATATATAGAAAATGCGTCCTAGTGAGAAATCTATGTTGTTTGAGAAAATTTTACGAGCGAAAGGGATCGTTAACAAGTAATATGTAGTGAGTATGTGTATTAGTTACTATCAAGTAATATGTAGTAAGGAATAAATGTTAATTATAGTGTATTAGTTACTATCAATTTCGATCAATGTAACACATAAAAAGTTGTTGTTTGTTTTATTATCCTAATTAAGCTATGAATACAAAATAAATGAGTTGTTTTTATCAATTAGAAACGTGAATGTATTAGATTTTTGAAGCCACCTATTGATTTCTATTTCTAGTTCTTGACTTTCAAGTTTGTTTGTTTGTTTTTTTTTTCTTTTTTTTACAAAATATATTAAACATATCCTTAGCACTAGTCGATCACATTCCTACTCCAAATTCACATGCAAAGGAAGCATTTAGTCACTGACTTGCACACGTCATAAATACTATTCTTGATACATATTAAAAAAAAAGGTTGAACTCCAACCTTGAGGGCCCCCACTGCCCCGTGCCATCCCTAGAGCATCGTGAGGGAGGTAAATGGCGGGATGTGCCTCAGCAGATTAGGGAACAAGAGCTTGCCTATACACTGATGCCCACAAAGAGTCGAATTTCATATCTCAGGAATCCAATCCTCGCACTACAGCTGCCAGCAAGACTGATACTACCTCATTCCTGTCCTTTGCACCACTGGGCTATGCCCCGGGGGCCTATTTTTGATACATATTGTTTGCATGTCAAATATGCAGTGTCTTTTGCACCACTGGGTTATGTCCTGGGGGGCTATTCTTGGTACATATTGTTTGCATGTCAAATAAGCAGTGTTCTATAT